CCATACGGTACGTGACAAGGCCAATTTCAGTCGACACAGCACACTGGACTTGAAGGTTTAGCCCTTTCGACGGCGGCAGAACGATTGTCGCACGTGTCCCTTTGATGGAGCGCTCACGACCGCGCTTGCAGTAGAGATTGAAGTTGGTTTCATCGTAGTACACGATAAAGTCGCCGTCTTTTTGATGTTGCTTGAGTTGAAGAACGAACTGACGCCGCTTTTCCTTGTTGATAGCGTTGTTGCAAGTAACGGGCTCGATGCGCACTTACTTGATGGTGAATAGCATGCCGAGGAGGTGACTGCTGATTGTCTGAATCGACAGCAACAACCCAGCAAAATCGGCGGCAACAAACGACTTGATTTCGCTCAGAGTGTATTGGCAGGTAGTGTTCAAATAGCGCTCGAACGCAGCTCTTACTTCGGGAGTTACCTTGGCTTCAGTTAGCCGAAAGCTGCCGCGCGGCTTCGACGACGTCCGTCCTGTATCGGTCACATGCCAAGCCGTAGCCTTGGAAACACCATTGTGCTTGGTAACAAGCTTCCAATCGTCGCCGCGTAGGTAGGCGTCAAGCACACGTTGCTTTTCCTCAGGGGTGGAACCCTTGCGCTGGGTTTCGTTGGGCATCCAAGACAGATCGAAATGAAAAGTGTGTTCTTATCGTTGTTTGCCATTAACCTTCGCGCCTACATTTCCCGCTTGCGTGGTTCACTTTGATTGGAACATATTTCATATTGGACTGAACTTTTGCATATCACTCAACTTGTCAAATTTTATATCCATCCGGACGTTTCACATTGGATGGAAGAAGGTTCCAAGTTGGCCGGGAAGTGGTGTAGACCACCAAAATGGCGGGAGCCTAAGCAGCTGAACATTTTGACCTGTCACTCATTCATTGCAGAATTTCCACTCACTTCAGACACACACACGCATCCCACGAGCCCTCTACACACTGCCGCAACTCCAGCGCTGCCATGAGCCCATTACCTGACACGTCAGACGCACAAAGAACCACACGGCCGACCAGCGGCGCGGAGCTATGAGAGCCTCTTAGAACTCTCTGTCGGCGGCAAACTTCCGTATGGGGCTTTCAAGGCCAAGTCCCAGCTGTATGACTGCCACTGGCGTACCATAGCTCGCCTTTGGAAGCAAGGACGCAGCTCCTTGGCCGACGGACGCGCCATCGCCGCGATCGGGTCAAAAGTCAGTGGTAAAACCTTTATAAATCTATATTTAGTATATTTGCACAATATATTGACGGTATTATATTAAAGAGGTAGATTTGATTAGGCAATTCTGGACGTAAAGTCGTCCGCACCTACGACGAAATTGAAGCCGCCATCCGAGCAGTGCCCCAGCATGCGCGACAGACAATGCGCTCGTTGACGCGGCACTGAAATAAGATTCTATCATAAAGAACTTGTCTTTGTTCAATGTTGAATGTGACCCTTCCAGCATTGAAGGGCATTGTTTCGAATGGAATGCCGCCATGGCGACGAATCTCACTTGGAAGTTATGGTCAATTGCCCTGATGAAGTAGTTTAATTCGTTCAATAAAAACACATTAAATTCACCTCGACCGACATGTGTTGTTGGAGACACATACAAAACCCAATACACTTCGATCCGAGACGGTATAATGAAACCAAGTGAAAAACAATGGCACAATCTTAATGGACCAGAGTAGTACATAGCTACATAGGCACTTCAAGCACCGCTGAAGTTGATAGTAATTAACAGTGGTCGAACGCATCGACCAACCTTTTTTACAATTTGCATGTTTATGAATGAATTCTTCATAAAAAATTGTTGTAA